GAATTGGTGTATGATTTGCTGGGTGTTAACAGCCTCTGAAAATCCACGAAAGGATCAAATTTGGGTCAGTTCTGACTCTGTGTCAGTGAGAGGGTTTGGTTTGTTGTTGTTGTTGTTGTGTGGGGGTTTTTTTGGCTGTATATGCTCTCAACTCTGGTGGCCTAGCAAGTAAGGTGTTAGTCTGCCAAGCAAAAGGCACGCAGTTCGAATCCCCCAGCTGCTCCTGGGAAGAAAGCCAGGCAGACTCCACCCATGTGCTGTACAGCCTCTGAAAACCTCCAGAGCTTCAGTTACAAGTCTGTTCCCAGCCACAAAATATTCTCAAGAACAACAACAAAGTAAATGAACAACAGAAGAAATCTTCTGGCTCTGGTGAAACTTGCATTTCAGGGGAAGGAGATGACAAAAGAAATAGAAGAATAAATAAAATGCAGGTTGGTGGTCAATGCCAGGGAGAGAGAGGAACCCAGAAAGCAGGGCTAGGGAGTATATATAGGTGGGGAAGGGGTTGCAACTGGAAAGGAGATGCTGAAGAACAACCTTGCTGGGGAGCTATGATGTGAACGGAGAGGTGAAGGAAATAAAACAAGCAGATCGTAAGGGTTTCTAAGAATATTCCAGGCAGAAGCAGCAGTTAGTACAGAGAGCCTGAGGCGGTGAGCACCTGCTGTTGTAGGCGCTGCAAAGCGGCCAGTCTGCGCACACACCTCGTTCGTGCCTGCACCCCGCAGAGACCACATTTCCCACACACACACTGAAGGACTGAAGGTCCGTGGCGCCAGGCTCCCTGCAACATGAGCTCGCTCCGTGGCTCCGTGTCACGTTTTTGGCGGTTCTGGCAACGCGTCCCGCTTTCTCCTCACGCTGCTGCACATTTCTTCAGTCAAGCGCAAGCATCGTGTTTACATGCGTCGGGAAACAGACACAAGAAATTGCTTTATTGCAGTAATTGCTCTATTGCAACGGGCCTGAGACCAAGTCGGTCATGTTATCTCCCCAGCATGCCTGCCTCCAGGGAGCAGGGCGGGGTGGTTAGAGGAGGCAGTCTACAGAGTCTACAGAGAGTCTTGCTACTCACCCCAAGGTCAAGTCTCTCTGGTGATTCCAACGCACCAGCGCGTTAGAGGGAGAAAGGCGGACGATCTCCCATGTGAGTTACAGCTTTGGAAACCCAGCGGAGGGTCCGGCCATCGAGGTGACCACGATACACAGTGACCCTGTGAACAGCACCCCTGGCCCCTATCCAGCCTGTGCCATCCTCACTGACCCTAACAGGCTTGGTTTACACTCACGATGTCAACCCATCTTGTAGAGGGTCCTCCTCTTTCTCTGGCCCCCCCTCCTTTCCCATCATGATGTCCTTTACCAGGATTGGCCCCTCCTTGATGATAATGCCCAAAGTACTTGAAGTTGCTCTTTCTCCCTCTCTGTCTGTCCTCTTGGCAGTCTGTAGGAAGGTTCAATAGTCCTCTCCAACACGGCACTTCAAAGGCACTGCTTGGCCTTTCTACGAAGAAGGAAGCCCCTGCCCCTCCCAAAACTGAAGCCAAAGCAAAGGCATTAAAGGCCAAGAAGGTGTCCTGAAGGACATCCACAGCCACAAAAAAAAAAGAAGATCCGTGTGTCACCCACCTTCCCGCAGCCTAAGACGTTGAGACTCCGAAGGCAGCTCAAATACCCCCGGAAGAGCACCCCCAGGAGAAACAAGCTTGACCACTCTGCCATCATCAAGTTCTCCCTGACCACTGAGTCAGCCATGAAGAAGAAAGAAGATAACAACACACTTGTGTTCACTGTGGATGTCAAGGCCAACAAGCATCAAATCAAACAAGCTGTAAAGAAGCTCTGTGACATTGATGTGGCCAAGGTCAACACTTTGACTAGGCCTGATGGAGAGAAGAAGGCTTACACTTGACTTGCTCCTGACTATGATGCTTTGGATGTTGCCAACAAAATTGGGATCATCTACACTGAGTCCAGCTGGCTAATGCTAAATACAAATTTTTTTCACAGAAAAAAAAAGGCACTGATTTCTTCTGCTGTCATCTTCATTAGCTGTTCAGCTTTCAAATGCACAGGAAGCATAGCTGTGGTTCCAACCCCATAGCAATGAGTGAGTGGCTGTATAATCACTTTACTCCCTGGCGTTTGTTGGGGGCTGACTTTTGCACAAGTAGATCACCAGGCCTTTCTTCCAAGGCACCCCTGGACGCACTTGAACAGTCAGCCTTTGGGCTAGCAGACAAATACTTAAGTATTTGCCCTACCCAGGATAACCCAAGAGCTCTTTGAAATTCAAAGTGTGTTTTGTTGTTGTTATGTGTCCTCGAGTCAATTGTGACTCATAGCGACCCTGTGTACAATAGCTCTGAACTCTGCCCTGTCATAAGTCAGTCTCACTGACTCTGACACATCTACTCCCATTGTCCCAGTTATTGTATCAATCCATCTCATCCAGGGTCTTTCTCTCCTGCACTGTCCTTCTACACTTCCAAGCATGATGTCCTTCTCCAAGCACTGGTCCCTCCTGCCCAAAGTATGTGAGATGGAGCTTCAAAATCCTTGCCTCCAAGGAGCAATCTGGTTTCACCTTCTCCAGGACAGACTTATTCACTTTCTTGGTGGTCCACAGCATGTTCAATACTCTTCTCCAGCAACACAGCTCAAAGGTATCAATTCTTTTTCTGTCATCTTTAGACACTGTCCAGCTTTCTGATGCATAGCAAATAATTGTGAAATCATGACCCCTGGATCAAGTGCACCTTAGTCTCCAGACTGACGTCACTGTGTATTTTACACTCACAAAAAAAAACCAAAACAAAAAAAAACCAACAAAAAACCACAGCAACATTCATTAAACTAAGCAAATCCATTGTCTTACAGTCTGTTGCAACTTTCAGCGGCCCTGAAGGACAGGGTAGAACTGTCTTATAAGTTTCTAAGACTATAATCCTTTATGGAAGCAGACTGCTTCATTTTTCTCCCAGGGACCAGCTTGTGGGTTCGAACCATAGACCTTTGGTTTAACAGCCTAATGCCTTAAGCACTGCATCAGCAGGCTTCTTTGCCACAGGCATAATGATTGCCATGGAGTAGATTCTGACTCACAGTAACCTGTAGGATAAAGTAGGTCTACCCATGAAGTTTCCAAGGCTGTGCTGCATCAGGAAAACCTGCCTTCAAGGCCCTCTCCAAAGTGCTGAAGAGCAAGGATGTTAGTTTAAAGACTAAGGTGTGTGTGATCTAAGCGGTGGTATTTTCAATTGCTTCTTGTGCAACTGAAAACTGGACAATGAGTATGGGTGACAGAAGAAGAATCTATGCCCTTGAATTGTGATGTTGGAGAAGAGTATTGAATATCCCATGGACTTCCAAAAGAACAAACAAGGCTGTCTTAGAAGAAATGCAATCAGGCTGTTCCTTGGAGACAAGGATGGTGAAACTTTGTCTCACAGTCTTTGGGCTTGCTGTCCTTAGAGAAAGACACCATAGTGGAGAAGGCAGAAGGTCAGAGAGAGAAAGGAAGACCGTCAACAAGATGGATTGACACAGGGACTGCAATCTTGGGCTCAAGTGTATCAAAGATGGTATACGATGATAAGACAGCACACGACAGAATAAGATTGGGGTCTTCTGTTCATAGGATCACTGTGAGTTGTACTCAATTCAATGCCACCTAACAGCACCATTGTTTTTTCTAAAGATAGTTTCAGAGGATATGTTTTGTTTAAGATTTAAAGATTTTTTTTATAGGGTAATAGTTTCAGAGATTTATTAAACCTCAGTGGGTCCAAAAAATCTAGAAATCTGTTGGAATTTAAAAAAAAATGTTGTAAAAATTTTTTTTTAAGAAAGAGAAAAAAAATTAAAAAGGCTCCACAGTCAACACTCTTGGCACCAGTAGTCAGGAAATTAAAAGGCACATTGCCATGGGAAAGTCTGCTGTTAGGGACCTCTCCAAAGTACTGAAGAGCAATGGTGTCTCTCTGGAGACTAAGGTGCGTCTGATACAGGCCATGGTCTTTGCAATCATTGTTATGCACCAGAGAGTTGGACAGTGACCAAGGAAGATAGAAGGAGAATTGATGCCTTTGAGCTGTGGTGCTGGAGAAGAGTATTGAGAGTACCATGGAATGATTCATCCTGGAAAGGGTTAAACCATGTGGCTCTTTGGAGGCAAGGATTCTGAGGCTCTATCTAACATACTTTGGACATGTTGTAAGAAGAGACCAGTCCTTGGAGAGGGACATCATGCTTGGGAGGGTGGAGGGGACAGCGCGGGAGGGGAAGGTCCTCTATGAGGTGGATTGATTCAGTGACTGGGTTAATCGGGATGGGAGTGTCAGAGACAGTGAGGTTGGCACAGGACAGAGCAGGGTTTAGGGCTGCTGTACATAGGGTCGCTATGAGTCACAAGCGACTCGACGGCACATAACAACAAAAAAAAAAGAGAGATAGAGAGACTGATAATGATTATAACAGTGGGTTCCAGAATATCAGAGGTGATGAGCATGGTGGGGGATCTATTGTTCATAGGGTCGCTGTGAATTGTAGGTGACTTAATGGCACATGTTGTTATTGTTATGTGCCATCGAATCACCTGCAACTCACAGCAACCTCATGTATCTAGCAATGACAATAATCTTTAGAGAAAATAATAATAATAATAAATTAGAGAAAAAGAATAAATAATATTATTTATAGAATCGGACAGCCTTAACTTGCTCCCAAGGAACAGCTGGTGGGTTCAAACCACTGACCTTTAGGTTAGCCACCCATTGGGGTGTTTAATGACAGGGCTCCTGTTTAAGCTCACTGCACATCACCTGTGATCACCAGTCGCATTTAAAGGGCTTTGTCAGGGCTGCACAGCACAGGCGTCTGATGCCCGAGGTTCTCACACTGTGCCTGGCACTGTCCATCCACTAATGGTGACCACAGCTGGGTTGTTTTTTGTTTCCCCATCATCGGACGCCGCCGGCCACTTCCTGCCCCCTCAGGAAACCTGTGCCAGGATCCTCCTGTACCGAGGAGCCAGCAAGGACGTGAAGAACAACAACGGACAGACGCCTTTCCAGGTCTGGGGCTGTACGGCTGTGCAGGGTGGGGGGCACGGAGAAGGCAGAGGGGATAAGGAAGGAGAGGGGTATCAGGAGTGCTGGGAGGGGAGAATAGGGCTGGTGGTGCAGCTGGTTCACTGGTTCAACAGGGAGGCTGTGAACCCAAAAGGTGGCAATTCAAAGCAGCTCAGCTCAACAGCTCAGTGGGAGCAAGGTGCAGAGATGGGGTGATGCTGGGGTGGGAGGGGCTAGCCAGGGACCTCACCTGTGTCCCCCTGACCCCCAGCCTGCTCCTCCCTCTCACCCCAGGTGGCAGTGATTGCTGGAAATTTCGAGCTTGGGGAGCTTATCAGAAACCACCGAGAGCAAGATGTGGGTGAGTGAGTGGGGAGCTGGGGGCTGGGTCACGTGAAGACGGATGCTGGGGGTGGGGGGCGCTGGAGGCAGGGGTGGAATTGGGAAAGGGGAGGTGCTTATTTGGGATGGAGGCAAGATGAGACAGAGGGGGTGCTGGGGGAATGTGAACATCTGAGACGTGGTGGTCAACCAATCAGTTCCTATCTAGTCGTTGCTGAGAACTTTGTGCTCCTTGATAAGGGTTTCTGCTGGCTGGTTTGTGAGAAGCAGACTGCCAGGCCTTTCTTCCTCTGGCCACGTTCTGACAGCCAGCTTTTCAGTCAGCGACCAGAGCTGGCTGACTGGTTCACAAATCAAACCCAGACCATGGCTGTTGAGTTTGATTCCAAAGGATGGCAACACTCTTAAGGTTATAAATCTTTACGGGAGGGAGATGCCTCCTTTTTCTCCTGTGATGCAGTTGATAGATTCGAACTGCTAACCTTTAGGCTAGTTGAGCAACACATAAACACCGGAGGTCCTTAACCATCACACCACCCAGGAAGTATACCAGTTAGAGCCGATTGATCCATGCATGGAGAGTTGACTGTGACTCTTGATTAATAGCAGAGCCTGTAACTCTTTGTATCGCTCAGTGAGGAGAGTGAGTGCTGGTGCAGAAAATTAAAAAAAAAATAGATGAGGGGAAATGAACTGGTGTCATCATGGGTGTTGACTTTGGATCAAGTGAAATGAAGTCATTGACAACTGCAACCTTTTCTCCATTATGATACTTTGGGTACCTTGTCAGGAGGGACCAGTGTTTGGGAAAAAAAAGATATTACACTGGCAAAAGTTTTGGAAGCAGGAGTGGCATCCACTTCCTAAATAACATGCCTCCGGAAACTCTAGGAACTTTGATAAATGTCGATAGTCGTAGAGGGGCTTCAAGGCCTTTTGTTCATAGGGTCACTAGGAGTCATGCTCGACTCAAAGGCAATCAACAACACGACAATTGGGAAAGGAGGAGGGTCAAAGAAAGAATGGTTAGAGTAGTGAGAGAAGATCTTCACCCTGAAACCCACAGCGTCCCTTTTCAGCAGGAAGTGGCTAAGAGAATACGCCATCCCCTTTTCCTTATGACTCAGGGTGAAGTCTCTCTCAGGGAGGAGTGATAGGGAATGGCAAAGGACACACTGACAAAGAAGATTAATCAGAACTGGCTTTGACAAGCACTGTGGCATTTGGACAAGAACAAACTGGGAGGAGGGTAGAGAGAATAGTGCAACAATGAATGAGTGGAAGCCCAAAATCTCTGTAAATGTTTATGAAAATTAATAAAATATAATTAAAAAAATTTAAAAAAAAAAAGAATGGAAGACCCTCAACGAGATGGACTGATACAGGGATTGTAACCATGCTCTCGAACACGTCAGAGAGAGCAAGGCTGATGCAAGTTGGAGTGAAGTTCAGATCTGCTGCGCATAAGGGTCGCTACGGGTCACAGCTGACAGGACCCCCCAAAAACGACAGAATTCTGACATTGCGCTTTGGTCCAGTGATGAGGATTTGTGTGTTCTTGATGTGCCAATGAAACCCATCTCGAAGGCTGTCCTCTCTGAGCTTCTGCAGCGAGTGCTGCAGGTCTTCACCTTCTGCAAGCAAACTTGCGTCTTGTGCGTAAAGCAGTTTTCTGATGAGTCTTACTCAGGAGGGTCCAGACCTTGGGAAAAGACGTTATGCTGAGAAAGGTGGGAGGCTCAGTGAGAGAGAGGAAGACCCGCAACAAGACGGATGGACACAGAGACCGTAACAATGGCCTTGGGCACGTCAAGAGAGGGCAAGGGTGGCACAGGATAGGACAAGCTGCATATTTGTTGTTCATGGGGGTCCCTATGAATCATCGTCGACTGGGCAACACCCATTGCCATCAAAGGATTCCTGGTGGCAGAATGGGTTAAGCGACTGAGGCGAACTGAAAGGTTTCCAGTTCAAGCTCAGCTGTGACTCAGAGGGAGGAAGATGAAGTCATCTGCTCAGGCAAAGATGGCCAGCCTGAGACACTCTTATCAGGCAGCTCTACGCCGCCCTGGACGGTCGCTATGAGCAGGAACGGACCTGATGGCAGTGGGTGGACCGGTCATTTGGCATTAGGTGCATTCTGACTCAGGTGTCAAAACAGAGCTGTGATCCACAATAGCTAGCTGATTTTTTTAAATTTTATTTTTATTATTATTTTGTGTGTGTGTGTGTCATCAAATCGGAGCTGATGGTACAGGAAATTGTCCCTCCTTCTCCAGCAGAGCATCCGGTGGATTTGAACCGCTCTCCTCTGGGATTGCAGTGCAGCTACTTGCCACTAGACCACCAGAGCTTGCCCAAAAAGGATTTTTTTAAAATATTATTTTATTTTGTTCTTAGTGAAGATTTTCACGGCACTTTGAATTCTCATTCAATTTTTACACAGCTTTTTCTTTTTTATTATTATTAATTTTTTTAAAAAATTATTAATTTTAATGAACATTTACAGATATTTTAGATTTCCGTTCATTCATTGTTGCACTTTTCTCCCTGCCCAGCACCAGCACCACCAGTTCGCTCCTCTCTTTGAAAAGTAAAAGAAAAATTCCTTCATTGGTGTACAACCCCCTCCCTCCCCCCCCACCCAGAGTACACTCCACTATGCAGCCTTCGTTCTGGACTCTTGTGATAACCATAATACCCTATGATATCTCGCTTTTAAACTGTTCTCTCCCTCATCTATTTCAGTGCAGTATACATGATTTATCCAGTTTTTCTCATTCTTACCCCAACCCTGATGTCAGTCCCATTTTATAACAGTGGCATCATGCAGTATTTGTCTTTTTGTGACTGAGATACTTCACTCAGCATAATGTCCTTCAGGGTCACCCATTTTGAGTAATATTTCATGAGTTCCTTGTTTTTCAGCGCTGCATAGTATTCCATTGTGTGAATATACCACAGCTTCTCTCTCCTTTGGTTGTTGCTGGGCACTTAGGTTTGGCTGATCTTTTGTAATTACCAGCCTTCCTTCTGCGTGACCCTGAACCACTGGTCTTTCTAACAGTAACTGACCATAAATAACCATTCTCATCCTGCTCAGGGAAATTCCACATCCCCATCCTCCTCTCCACTCTCCAGCCTCATGCTTCACCCCCATATCCTTGTGTCTCCTCCCACAGTACCGTTCCAAGAGTCCCCCAAGTATGCAGCCCGCCGCCGCGGACCCCCAGGCGCAGGGCTGACTGTGCCCCCAGCACTGCTTCGAGCCAACAGTGACACCAGCATGGCCCTGCCCGACTGGATGGTGTTCTCAGCACCCGGGACCTCGTCCTCCGGGGGCCCCGGTCAGACCTCAGGACCTCAGGGCCAGTCGCAGCCCCCAGCCCCCAGCACCAAGCTCAGCAGTGGGACCCTCCGAAGTGCCAGCAGCCCCCGGGGAGCCCGGGCTCGCTCCCCTTCCCGTGGAAGGCATCCAGAAGAGACCAAGAGGCAGCCCCGTGGACGTCCCAGGTAGGCGAGAGACACAGTCCTGGCCCCAAAGTTGTCCAGTCCAGTCTACCTCCTCTTCCAAGCCCCAGCCCCCCACTTCCTATACGCTGACTAGACCCACAAATTCTTCCTTTCATCCATCAAGTCATCATTAATACCACCCTTGAACCCTCTGTCACTCTCCATGCCCCCCAAGAAAAGTAGGGGCACAGGGAGCCCCATTTTTAGGGAGCCCCTTTCTTGACCTCACTTCCAAATACACGCTAAGTTTTATCTGAGTGCCTACTTCACCCTTGAGTCTAGGGGTGACCACCTACAAGAGTAACCGCGGCCAAATCCCCTTCCAGGTCTGGGGGTGGGAGGGCTGTGTTGGGGCTGCAAGGGGCTGGCGTGTAGGGGGGTAGGGGTGTCGAAGAAGAAAGACGAAGGACACGTAGGGGTGCCTGGGGGTGGATGGGAGCAGCTCCAGCCCCAGGGGACAGACAGAGAAAGCTGAGAGGAGCTGGGCAGAGAGAAGGTAGACGGAGAGGAGGGGGACAGCCTGGTGGCTGGGGGTAGGGGCGTCGGAGACTTGGCGGTGAGCCTGGCTGAGGGTTGGGAGGGAAACCAGAGACTTGCTCGGGGGCGGACACCGGGGCGGGAAGAGAGGAGGCGTGGAGAGGGGCAGCCGAGTCCAGAGGAAGTGGGGGTAGGCGAGCAGGGCGGGCTGGGGGTGGCAGTTGCTGGACGCGACCCAGGAGGAAGCTCGAGAGCTTAGGGATGACAGAGTCCGGGGCGCAGCTCCAAGAAGCTGAATCAGGCAGCGCGCAGCAGAGGGGGTGAGGGGGAAGGGCCAGAAGTGGGGATTCAGGAGAGGGGCTGGAGTCGGGGGCAGCGGGCCTGCAGAGGATGTCCCCAAATGACAGAGCTGGAAAGCACACTCACATCCCCTCCCCCACCCTGGTGCTCCGCCCTCCCACCCGCACCCCAAGGACCCCCTCTTCCCCCAGAGGCGCCCCATCCCTCCACTCTCCCCTGCCTCTCACACCCTCTGTGTACGCAGCTCCAGTGGGACGCCCCGGGAAGGGCCGACCGGGGGCACGGGAGGCTCGGGGGGCCCTGGGGGCTCCCTGGGCAGTCGTGGGAGGCGGAGGAAGCTCTACTCGGCTGTCCCGGGGCGCTCTTTCATGGCGGTGAAGTCGTACCAGGCGCAAGGCGAGGGGGAGATCTCCTTGAGCAAGGGCGAGAAGATCAAAGGTACCTGGGGCAGGTGGGGAGGGCGGTGGGGCTAGGACGAGGCCACTGGCAGGAAAGGTCGTGCAGTCACTCAACAAACAGGCAGCCAGCTCCTGGAATGCGTATGCGCATGTGGTCCCTCCGCCTCTCAGATGCATCCGCTGTGTGGAGTCAGTATTGAGGCGAGAGGAGGAGACTTGAACCCTCACAGGACACTAGAGGGGCGTGGGGGGGCCACACAGGGTTTTGTGTGGGGCTGGAGACCCTGGTGAACTTCTGTTAAAGCTGTTGTTAGATGCCATCCAGTTAAAGTAATCTGTTGCAAAACTAAAGGTCAGAGATTCAAACCAACTGGTCATTCTCTGGGATATAGAGCTCTTCAGTCAAAAAGAACTCCTAACTGGAAGGCTGTGGTGACACGAAAGAAAGGCCTGGCAATCTGCTCTCACAAAGATCACTGTTGCGTGCCGTTGAGTTGATTCTGACTCATGGAGACCCCTTGTGACAGAGTATAACTGCCCCATGGGTCACCTTTATGGACAAACCCTCGTGACGCAGTGGCTGAGCGTTCTCCGACTAACAGGAAGGTCAGAGATTTAAATTTACCAGCCACTCTGCAGGAGAAGATGAAGTGGTCTGCTCCTGTAAAGATTTACGGCCTTGGAAATTGTATGCGATAGTGCTAATCTGTCCTATAAGATCCATATAACCTTTATGTAAACACATTGTTCTAACCACCCACCTTTCTAACAACAGCTGAGTGCTTAACTACTGCACCACCAGCACTCCTATCTGCAAAAATTACAGCCACTGAAAAGAGTCACAGAGCCCACTTGCACTCTGAAGCGCACAAGATAGTTATGAGTTGGGATCAATTCAGTTACAAAGAGTTGGGGAATTTTTAACTCTGTTAGGGCAATTCTCCTTTGAAGTCTTATCTCGGTCACAAATGTCCTTCTAGAATAGTCACTATAAGCGCCCTTGTGCAGTCGAAGGGGGCTGGGCTGAAACTCTGTTAAAAGACCAGACAGACATGCTGTCCAAAACTCTTTGGCTTTTCAATGGTTGCCTATAAAGAGTCCCTATCCAGCAGACCCCACAAGGCAGTTACTTATTTAAAACTTTTTCTTGGGATTTGGATGAAAGTTCACAGAGCAAATTGCTTTTCCATTCAACAATTCACACGCAATTTGTCTCCTAACATTGATTGCATGGACCTCAAGGTAACAGCATCCTACCCACTTCCTCCCTATGTTTCTCATTTTCACTCATCCTTCTTTCTTATGCCTTTCATGCTACATGTTCTAGATGTCTGACCTCAGACAAGGGACTTCCCTGGGCCTCAGTCTCTTCTTCAGCTATAAAATGGGACTCTTGTGACGTTAAAGGGAGTCTAGCAGGAGCTAGTTGGTAACGTCGTTGGTTATGTGTTGTGCGGCTAACAGAAAGGTTGGCAGTTCAAATCCATCTGTCAGCCTTGGAGACCTAATGGAGGCTTGCTATGAGTTGCAATTGATTGGATGGCAATGGGCTTGATTTGCTTGAAAGAATGCTTGGCATGAAATTCATGGAACCTCTGTGCACAACGGAAAGAAGTGATGCCTCATCCTACCCCAACTTCTCCCTCACCAGCTCCTTGAGTCCATTGTCGTGGCTGCTGTATATTTCTAGAAACTTCTACCCTAGGGAGACTTATCTTCCAGCAGTTTCCATGGGGCTGACTTTTGTAAGCAGATCACCAGGCCTTTCTTCCTGGTCTTACTTTGGATGTTCTTCCAGAACCAGCTCAGCCTCATAGCAACACATTAAACTCCACTGGCAGGGGGCTGTCAGGGGGCTGTGTATGAAGAGCATTGTTCAGGGCAATTCCACCCTCGTTGTTCGGTACCACTGAGTCTACTACCACCTGATGAACCACATATCGGATCCTTGCCTTATATCCCGTACCATCCTCCTCACCTCTGATCTGCTCAAGCCGTTGTCACAGCCACAGTGTCCATCCTTCTTGTTGAGGGTCTTCCTCTCTCTCTCAGACCCTCCACCTTTCCCTACAGGATGTCTTTTCCCAAGGACTGACCCCTCCTGACATCATGTCCAAAGCATGTGACATGAGATTTCCCCAGCTTTACCTCTAAAGAGCGTCCTGGTTACACGTCTTCGAGACAGACTTGTTTGTTCTTTCAGAGTTCACGGTGTAGTCAGTACTCTTTGCCAATACCATCATTTAAAGGCATCTATTCTTCTTCAGTCTTCCTTATTCATTGTCAAACTTCCACATGCACAGGAAGAAATGGAAGATACTGTGGTTTGGCCCAGGCACACCTTAGTCTATAAACTGACATCCTTGCTTGTAGCACTTTCAAGAGGTCCTTGATAACAAGTTATCCCAAGGGAAGAAAGACATCTTTTGATTTCCTGACTTGCATGAGTGTTGATTATAGATCCAAATAAGCTGAAATTATTGACAACCTCAAAGCTTTTTCCATCTATCATAACACTGCCTTTTGATCCAGTGGTGAGATTATTTTCTTAATGTTGAGATGTAATCCTTCGTGAAGGCTGTAGACTGTGATCTTCTTCAGTAAATACTTCAAGTCTGCTTCATGTTCTGCAAGCAAGATTGTGTTGCTTGCATAACACGTTGATGATGAGTCGTCCTCCAATCTTGCTGCCACGTTCTTCTTTGTATAATCCGGCCTTTGGATCATTTTCTCAACACATAGTTGAATAGATGTGGAGAAAGGAAACAGCCCTGATGCACACCTTTCCTGATTTTAAACCAGTGTTCCCTTGTACTGTTCCAAAGACTTCTTGATCTGTTTATCAAATTTTGCATGAGTACAATTAAGCGTTCTGAAATTCTCACTCTTGCCCATGTTATTTATAATTATTTATAATTTGTTAGGATCCACACAGTCAAATACACCATTGTAAGTACATGGAAACATCATATAAATGTTAGTGGTCTTTGTTATAGGTGGTTACAGATGCAGCAGCAATCTGTTGTTGTTGTTGTGTGCTGTCTAGTTGCTTGCAACTCATAGCAACCCTATGTACAACTATGTAGAACTCTGAATACTATTCTATCCTGTGCCGACCTTATTGTCTCTGACACACATATCTCCATTACCCCAGTCACTGAGTCAATCCATCTCATCTCATCTTCCTCTCTTGCGCTGTCCCTGCACCCTCCCAAGCAAGACTCTCCAAGGACTGGTCCCTCTTTCCTTGCAACATGTGCAAAGTATGTCAGGCGAAGCTTCAAAATCTTTGCCTCTAAGGAGCAGCCTGGTTTCACTCTCTCTAGGATGAACTTGTTTGTTCTCTTAGCAGTCCATGGTATATTCAATACTTTTCTCCAGCTCCACAGCTCAAAGACATCAATTCTCCTAGTCATTGTCCGTCTTGCTGACTAGAGGGGAGAGATTCAGACTGTCCAAGTCAGCAAAAAAGATGACAGAGCGTGAGCAAGGCTTTGAAGGGTGGACAGGAACCAGCCCCTCAGACAGGTTGTCTAACTGTTTGGTTGTGGTGGTGGTTGTTAGACGCCATTGACTTGCCTACAAGATATAGTCACCCTATGAATTATCATCTACTGTTTAATCTCCCTCCTTGCAGACTACACTCTTGAGTACAATGTCCATGTCCTTGGTCTCTGGGTCTCTAGACCCAACCACACGAAGGACTGTGTATGAACTGCTATTAGATGTCACCACGCTGGTTCCGATGCTGGTTGATATCAACCCTTCGTACAACAGAGCACACCCCCGCCCGATCCAGCTTCATGCTAACAGTCTCTGCCGTTCTGGAGTCCATTGTTGCAGCCAGTGCTGTGACACAGTCTATCTTTGTTGAGGGTCTTCCTCTTTTGTCCCTGATGCACTATTTCCGCAAACGTGATGTCCTTCTTCATCCAGGCACTGGTCTGTCCTGATAACATGTCCAGCATGGATCAGACCACATCTTGCCATCTCCTTTCTAAGCAACATTCTGGCTGTATGTCCTCCAAGATGAATTTATTCACCAACCCCATAATTCAAAGGCACCAATTCTTCTTTGGTTCTCCTTGTCCTATGCAACTGCTGTGACTTGAAATCAACTATTGACTTCATAGCAATGGAACTGGGTTAGTCTTTTTCACTGAAAGACAAAAATGCTTTGTCTTCTTCATCGAAAGGGAATTTGTTGTCTTCAAGCAAACTGACATCCTCAGGGCCACTGAGCTTCAACCTGGTCGACTTCTCCTCTTAGAATCAAAGCTCACTGCAATCCCAGAGGTACGTGGTTTGAATCCACCAGATGCTCTGCTGGAGAAAGAGGGGCAATCTCCTCCTGGACTAGTCAGATCTGATTTTGATGGTACACACACAAAACATAATAAAATTTTTTTTTAAAAAGAATCAAAGCTGGATGCATTAACCTGGCCTCCAAGCCCCTACTCAAGGGCTTCAATCCCATCCACCTTGACATGCTCATCTCAGGCTACTCTTCCCTTCATCCACCAGAGTCCAGGGCCTCAGCCTTCTCTTAAACCCGGAAACCCTCCCAGCTCTCTTCTGAACTTAGTCTCTGCATATGCTGTTCCTCCTGCCCAGAAAACCCTTCCATCTGCTCTCTCAGCACCTAAACTCCTCTTGCTGTTGTCACGTGCCACTCAGTCAGCTCCAACTCACAACAACAGAGGGGAAACTCTGCCCGACACTAAGTCATCCTCACAACCGCTGCTGTATTTGAACCAAATGATGCAGCCACTGTGTCAATCCACCTTGTTAAGGGCCTTGCTCTCTTTCCTGGGTCCTCCGCCTTACCAAGCCTGCTGTTCTTCTCCAGGGACCAGCCTCTCCTGATGATATTGGCAACGAATGTGAGGCATCAACTTCTAGGATCCTTGAGTTCTCATCTTTTGTGTTCCTGGCTCACGGACCCCTTTCTTGTCTATCTTTCCAATTTGATTTTCTGATTCCCATGTTAAGTTCTCCTCGGGGAAGCGCTTCTTTTCACCTTAGGGCTCATGTCAATTT